GTGGGTATATGTGTGTGCATGTGTGTGCATGTGTGTGTGAGTGTATGTGTATGTGTGTGTGTGTGTGTGTGTGTGTGTGTGTGTGTGTGTGTGTGTGTGCGTGGGCATTTTGGTAAGAAGTTGGATGTACACTTGAATGGTTGTGTGGGGGATTTTTATACCTTTTTATATGTTTTTGTTTAAGTTGTTTGTTTTTTGTTTGGTTTTTATTTTATTGTTGTTGTCTTTTGGGATGGTTTTCGTAGCATGAGAGTGTATGTGCAGATATGGATGTGGACATATACATATTTGTATGTGAGCATGCTCTTATGTAGGATCGAGGAGATACATGTGTGATTATGTGTTTGTGAGTGTGTATGTGTGTGTGTGTGTGTGCACGCGCGCGTGTGTGCGTGTGTGTGCACGTGTGCGTGAGTGTGTGTATGTGTGTGTTAGTATGTATATACATGTACATTATTTAAATATATGTGTCCTCCAGACACGGCATGTGTGCACATTCATTATAATATAAGTACACGCTTATGTGAACACAGTTTTTAAAATGTATAATGATCAAAGGGAGGTAAATGCAGTCGTGCTTGTTTCTTGTTACTTTTAAGCACGGTTGTCTCCTTAAAGTCTACGCCAAGAATAAAAATGATTGCGTTTAAGTGCTCATCTCCGAGTTCTTTATAATTTGCGCAATACGAAGAGACTTTTAATGAAGAAAAGTTCGAAAAGGTTCTTTCGCTTTAATATTATGTAAAATATGATTTTGAAGCTCCATTTTTACGATGTGAAATATTATTAATGTTTGTTTTCCTCGCTTCATGAAGTATGACCTATTCGAATATTATTCTGCTTTTAGTGCTGAAGTTTTATATTTCTTGTGTTTTTTTGTTTAAGGGGAGGGGCAGGGGTGACAGAAGTGTGGTGGGCTTGGTATGGGCATAGTTTGATCCTTTAGTGCTTTGGTTGTTTTTTTAATTTGTGGTTTTCAATTCCTTTAATAGATTTGGTCACAAAAACTCTTATTGTCTCTATTTAGAGAGATGCTCATGATAAAAACTGCAGTGTCAGATGAAAAGTTCAATTTCATACATGGTGAATTTCTGTCTTGGAATTTTACCCTTTACATTTCAATGACATCATCACCACCACCATCATCATCATCATCAATATCATCATCATCATCATCACCATCATTGTCATCATCATCATCATCATCACCACCATCATCATCATCATCATCATCATCATCATCATCATCATCATCATCATCATCATCATCATCATCATCATCATCATCATCATC